TCCTGTTACTCTGGGTCCAAGGTGAGGGCTGTGTGGGATATTTCTACATATCTGTCAAAACTCAGTGGTGGCTTGTGTGTTCAGTACGAGCGTCTTTGTACAATAAGGACAGTTATTAAAGTTCACTGTAGATCAATGAGTTTAGCTCTACTGAGAAGACAGTTGGTATGACCTAGATTCCATGGGTGACATTTCTGTTTTATTTTTCAATATCAGATTCCACTGGACAAATCCTGTTGACCCAGACTTCAGCCTCCCTGGCTTTGTCTCCAGGAGAAACAGCCACTCTCAGCTGCAAGGCCAGTCAGAGTGTGAGCAACGCCCTAGCCTGGTACCAGCAGAAACCTCGCCAGGCTCCCAGGCTCCTCATCTATGGTGCCTCCAGCAGGGCACCTGGCATCCCAGACAGGTTCAGTGGCAGTGGGTCGGGGACAGGCTTCACTCTCACCATCAGCAGCCTGTTGCCTGAAGATGTTGGAACTTACTACTGTCAACAAGGTTATAGTTCCCCGCCCACAGTGATACAAGCCATGACATAAACCTCCCAGGGAAGCAGAAGTGTGAGGCTAGGCTGCCCCAGCTGCTCCTCTTGGTGTGTCCAACAGCAGGTCATGTTCTTCAGATGCATCCAGGCTTTGAAGGTCACTGGAAGGATTTGGTAGAAGTGTTCAAGAGACCTCCTGTAATCCATAACTTTCTTTTTTGTGTCTCAATCCTGATATAATGAAGGGCATCAATCCAAAGTAGACTGGAATAATGTGGATTGTGGCATCATTTTGTATTCACACGGCAACAGAGAAGCTCTTCTATGGATTCCAAGCCACAGATTTTAAAGACTTTCATGTCTTTTGGAGAGTTATAGTCACAAAAAAAAGTTGAAGTGCAGAGACGTTTTTTATATCCCTGCCCCTACCTCTACACAGTGTGTCATTACAATAAATTTCAATTCTTTTGCAATCAGTGAAGATCCATAGTTCACATGAAGGGTGACTCTTGATGTTGAATACTTAACCTGAAAACACATGTAGAATGACATGTATCCAACATTTTGGGATGACCCAGTGTTCTTCCCTGATCTAAATACCTCTGTCTTCTACCTGTATATGTTTTTTTCCTCCAATTTCTGTAAGTCAATCATGTGTTACAATTTGTACTTTTTTGCTTTCTGAAATAATAAAATCTTGGATTTTACAGTATGGAAGATTTTGAAAAGCTTAACTTCTAATATACTGCTAATTAACGCAAATAAAAAATAATAAATAATACATGTTGGTACAACCAAGACCCCCTATAGCATGTATTATCATCACTAATATCCTGGCTTAGTAAAGGAGTTAGATAATTTACTGGGCAATATGACAGTGCTTTCATAATACTGATTGCATCTCAGAGGTCACAGAAAGGTACAGATTACTTGCACTGAATGTTAAGTGTCTATTGTGATATTAAAACACTCAGCTGAAGTTTTAAATTCTTTTTTTCTTTCCACTTGATTTTATTGATCATACCTGATATCAGTTCTGATGCTCATACAGTCAGTTGGAAGGACAAGTAGAACACAAACTCTCACTGTTCTTTCTGATATCATTCAGATCCTTTCAGTGGCTCACTGAACCTAGCTCAGGGTCTTGCTTTAGCAGTCAGAGGAGTGCCTTGCCTCTTGTTTATCTGTTTTCTGAGAAGTGAAGAAAAAAGGGGGTGATTTCATTATGGACTGGAAAATATATCTCCTGTCTCTATTTTTACCTCTGCATGTGTGCATTTTAGGTCTGTGGCACTTGAACACTTTCCATAAACACAGCATTTCAGTGGAGTTTGAAAAATAGACTTCATTCTTTGGGAAGACAACAGGATGTGGCATGGTTTACATAGCACCCCTAGCATGTTTTTCATTCTTCCAATCCAGATGGTGGCAGCAGAGGAGGTTGTGTTCATTGTAGGGACACAGTCTTTAAGCATAATGCTAACTTGTTTTCCAGAGTAATCTCAGGTTCAGCAGTAGAATGGATTCTCTCTGAATAGCCTGTTCCCTACTTCCTTATTTCACTTACTGGCTGCATTTATTTATCGTTACTCTCCAGTTTTTTCTTTACTTACTTTTGCCTTTTCAATAGATTGTATTAATTAAGATGAGCTCTTAGTATTCTAAAACATGTTGAACACAGAACAATGCTACTTAACAAATGCCTAATGACCTGTACCTCCTCTAGTTAATATTGTGTATCAATTAAACTGTATCTTAAACAGCAAATATTGTGAACATCTTAAATGCCCATCAATTCCTGGTGGAAATGATGACCGTATGACTTCCTAGGAGAATAACTTGGCAGAGTCTTAAGAACTTATTGTCCATGTATCACGCCCACGAGTAGCTCTTTCAGGCCTTTGACTAACGTGCTTGAAAACACCTGTTCACTCAGCATCTTGTGAAGGACTACTAAAAGTAACTTTGTTCATAACAGCCTGAAATAAGAAGTACCTACATCGTCATCAACACATGAAACAATAACTTATGATATCACCATCCATTACATAGTACTCAGAAAGAAAGAAGATCACATTATTGGTACATGAACAACGTGAATTGACCTAAAAACAACTATGCTGTGTGCAGGTGGGAAGCCACTAGGGAATAGAACCTATATAATTTCTCTTGTATGAAATTCTAGAGGAGGAAAATCTAATATTATAGGGATAACTGATAGACTTGACTTTGATGAGTCCATGGGGTGTAGAGCAAATTCGTTAAAAAGAAAGGCAGGAAAAACTTTTGCTTTTTCAGGATAATTTGTTATTCCAGTGGAATTTTCCCAATGTAATTTTGATTGAGATTACACTGACTCTGTAATTCACCTTGGATGGTATGAACATTTTAGCAGTGTTAGTTCCTCCAGTGCTGGAACATGGGGTATCTTACCATTTAGTTGTGTCTTCTGTAATTTCTTTCATAACTTTTAGTGGAGTCTAACTTACCAATATTTCTCTCCCGTGACTCTATGTGCATATTTTTGTCCTGTTTAAATGTTTGCCTAGTCTTAAGGCCTGAAGTTATCATCTTTCCTTTTTCCTGAAGCTTCCCGACTCATTCCTATAGGCTATCATATTCCATTAATTCATATTTCTACCTAATGTCATATGGATCAAAATTTTTTCAATATGTACTTAATTTCATTTTCATTTCCCATTGCTCCTCACCATTGAATGGAAAAAAAATGGCACATGAACGTACAATTAATTTTACTATCTTTGCAGAAATACGTATATGTAGCTCTTTTTCTCCTGGACTCTTTTTGCTTGTTCAGTTTTTTTATCTTTGTTCTTATGGTGCACAACCCTGTCTTACTGAAGTTCTTCAATAGTCCCCCATCCACTTATGTAATGCTGGAGGTCGTACCCAGGGCCTTATGCTGTATTGTTGAGCTATATCTAAATTTTCTATGAAAGTCTTAACACATAATTTTATTCATATCATATTTTCTTTTTTTTTTTGGTACTGGGAGGCAATCTCAGGACCTTCTACTTGCCAGGCAGGCATTCGTTCTACTCACCCACATCACCGGCCCTCATATTCTATTTCTATTCCTTGAAATTTCTGGGCCTATCATAGGTTTTTTGATTTTTCTTGTATATTCTAGAAACTGCTCATAAATTGATTTTTATGTTTTATTTTAAAGATTGAAACAACTAACAAAACAACAATAAAGAGAAAACCAAAGCAACACTAAAGCAACAAAAGCAAAACATGACCTCAAAACAAAATGATAGGAATTAACAATGGTTGCTGCATTATATACTTGTATCTTCCACGAAGTTGCCCCATCCCCCAGATGTAATAAATGATTTGTAGATTGACTGCATTTCATTGCATGAAATATATTTTCTATACATATATCTTTTGAGAAAATTAAATTTTAATAATATCAAATTTTCTACTTGAAGAATATGGAAAAATATCTCTATTTATCTCAATGTTTTTTAATTTACAAGACATAGTGAGTGTATTGACAGTGAACACAGAGCCTGAATGAAATTATTTTTCTAGTGATTTTTGGTTCAGTCTTTAGGAATTTATGTGAAATTTTGTTGTAAGTATATGAAGATATCCCTTTCTTCCTTCAATCTGTGAATTTTACTGCTTTGTGTTCTTATTGTATTTCCTAGCAGCTTCAGTATAATTTTGAATAAAAGGGATAAATGTGGACATGCCTATATTTTTCTTTTTCTGAAGGAAAAAAATACTCACAATTTTGTTGGTGAATATGATATTTTTAGAGACTCTATTGCAAGTGTAAACAAAGTTCTCCAAGATCATTAAAGTGAAAGGGCCAGAGTTTGGGTTGACTGATGCACTGTAATAAAATGACATGGAGGATCACCCAAGGAAAAGTTCATTGCCTGCACAGAAAGTTCAAGTTCTGATTTCAGCAAAATGGTATCATGTGCCGAAGAAAGACAGACCCAGTGTTGCTCCCCTGTGAGCTGTGGTTGTCCACTGACCTGTGCTACTGAGCCTGAAGAATTGTTACCCTTTGCAAATTCTCAGACAGGTAAGGCTGCATTAAGGACCCTGGGAAAGACTGCAAAATTGAAAAGGAGAAGAATGTCTGCAAGATAAACTTCACACAAAGCTCTATTTCAACCAGACACAATTAGGTACATAGGGAGATGATGAGACTCATTAGAGGTGGAGAGAAACAACCCTACAGGCTTCTATCTTGTGTTTAATACGCTTGTACTGAACAGCATCTGGCTGAGTCTAGAGCTTTGGTAAGACAGGAAGACAACAATAGCAAGTTCTGTGACGATAGAGGAGAAATGCTGAGCTCAGGCTGAGCCAAGAGCCTTCTGACCTGACCACCTGGGCATGGCTCGCTCAAGTGTGAAAAAAAGAGGCCAGTGTTTCTGCAGCTGCAAGCTCAGCTCAGCTGGCTCCTGCTGATTTGCATGCTCCTCCCAACACCACTGCTCTTCAGAGCCCATATCACTGCCTGCACCAGAGCTCCGAGGAAGATCTGCACCAGGGAGGACAGAGCGTGCAGCATGAAAGCTCTTTCTAAACTCCTCTGTCTCCTGTTACTCTGGGTCCAAGGTGAGAGCTATGTCCGATACTTTTGCATATCTGTGAAAACTGAACGTTTGCTCCTATGTACAGTACTCGCATCTCTGTTCAATAAGCCCAGTCTTTAAAGTTCAGAGTAAATCAATGAGTTTAGCTCGACTGAGAAGGCAATTGGTATGAGCTAGATTACATGGGTGACATTTCTGATTTATTTTTCCTTCCCAGATTCCAGTGGAGAAGCCCTGTTGACCCTGTCTCCAGCCTCCCTGGCTGTGTCTCCAGGAGGAACAGCCACTCTCAGCTGCACGGCGAATCAGGGTATTAGCAGCTCCCTAGCCTGGTACCAGCAGAAACCTGGGCAGGCTCCCAGGCTCCTCATCTACGATGCCTCCAGCAGGGCCACTGGCATCCCAGCCCGGTTCAGTGGCAGTGGGTCAGGGACAGGCTTCACTCTCACCATCAGCAGCCTGGAGCCTGAAGATGTTGCAGCTTATTACTGTTACCAGTATTACAGTGGGTTCCCACAGTGATTTAACGTGGAACAAAAACCTCCCTGAGACCATGGTCATTGTTTTGCTCATACCAGCTGTTTCCTTTATAGACAGCTGCTGTGGTATCTGCTGAGTCCTCGCATTTCTGTCTCAATCTGAAAATCTTCTGATTCTGAAAAGTAACTTGCTCATAAGTTTTCAACTGATTGCTGAACTTTTCTTCAGACTCAGTTGGAAATTGTTCAGGAACAATATCCCTGCTATTGGTATCAGATCAGATTCATATGAGATATACATTTTATGTCTAGTACAACAAGGTAATACCACAGCCAAGAAAATGAATTATATTGTACATATATGAGATTTACCCTATCAAATTTTTAGTTTCATTAACTTAAACTTAATAATAATAATAAAATAATTAAGAAATAATATAGCTATATGTGTCATGTCACTAAATGTAAGCAGTCTGAGGATTTACAAGTTCATGCATTCTTAGTGGCCTCATGGATGCCTGAGTCACCGTGGCCTCTTTTGTCCCAGAAAGTATTTGAATTACAAACTATTTATGTGCATTGTACTATAACAGTGGTTCCCTTTCAATCTAAAGATAAGAAACAAATCATGTAGTATTCATAGAATAAAAACAATTTTCCTCAAAGTCTTTTTTATGAGTATATTGAAGACATGGATAGTTTTACTCCCTAAGAAGTGAAACAACTGCAAAAAAAATCCGAAAGTGTACACCTAGTCATTCTCACCACACCATTCAGTAGGGATGAGATGAATAAAATTCAGACAGAAGCTGAGTGCTGCTCAAGGTCATTCACTTAGTTGAAGAGCATGAATAGATATATATTAGTTCTCCAGTTTTATTGAGTCTGAAGTTGTTGCAACTTATTGCTGTTACCAGTATTCCAGTGGGTTCCTACAGTGATTATGATGACTGTTATTGGCTGCTTGAAAAAAACATGTTAGAAATATCTTTTCAATTTCAACAAAAATTCTCTGGAATTCAGTGTTATTTGGCTTTTTGTCTTTCTTACAAAATACCTAAAAAAAAAACCTTAAAGGTTGAAAAGTTTATTTTACTTTAAAGTTTCAAGATTTCAGTCTAGGGTCAGCTGGCTCCATTGCTGTTAAGCCTATAGTGAGGGGGAAGATTTGCAACAGCAGGGTGTTGTGGAGAAAAGCTACTCACTTCCTGGCAGCCAGGGAGCAGAGAGAAAAGAAAGGGGGAAGGGCTAAGATACAGTACCCAGGGTGATGCCTCCATGAGGCAGGCCTCAGCTCCTTAATTTCTATTATCTTCCAAAAATTCTATCAAATTACTATCTCATCAGGGGGTGAATCTTTGTGTGCAGTTAGAGACCTCACATTTCCCTCACCTGCCAAAAGCGCCCTCTGAGAACACATGAGATTTCAGGGGCACATTTTAGATCTAAACCATAATAGAGCTTCAGTTTTCCTTTCTTCTGTCACACGTGCATCTGCATGAGGTGGGTGGGGGAGAGAGAATGAGAGAGAGACAGAGGCAGAGATAGAGCTAGAGAGAGACAGAGAGACAGAGACACTCTATAATCACTGTCTACAGAGAAGTCACTATCATGACAGCTGGGTCTGGATCTGGCTCCCATATCTCCAGGTCCCCATTAAAGCTACACAGCCTCATGTAGCAGAGAATCTCAGACATGGGAGCCACCTCCCCTGTGGGCCAACCTATGCCACCGGCTCCAGCATTACTGTCGCTCAGCGTGAGCCTGTGCTTCAGACCCCCACTCCATGCAACTATGACAATTGCTAAAGGAATTAAACAAACTAGATATGTTTATTCTTGTAAAAGTACTGAGGCCTTGGATAGGGTCAGGAAAACTGTGGTTTTTTTGTTGGAACTAGGCACTTCCAGTCTCAGCTCAGTGTGCAAGAACTGCAGTGTCATGAACCTCAAGGTGGAGGAAACTGCAGCGTCTTCTTGCCAGAGGGGTGAACTTGAGCAGGGTGGAGAGAAGAGCAAGATCCTTCAGTCACATTGCTCACCAGACAACTGCCACGTCCCCTTGGGTTTTCACACACTGTTGCACGCACCAGGGGATTTGCATAGTGCTCACTAGGGAGAATTTCCCTGCAAGTCTGAAATAAAAACTTATAATCTTGCTGTATGTATTCAGACTATTCAGCTCAGCTTCGCAAAGTGAGGGACCCCACTCAGCTCATGAGGTTGTTACTGTTCTGGATCTCTGGTAAGGACGGAGGGAGATAAGCAAGGAGATGAGGTGAAAGGAGTGAGCCCTGGGGCCCAACTGCTGCACATGTGTGTTCTGTCACTGTGTGAGATGAGCAGGTTTTGTCCTCCAAGGTGGGGCATATGAAGTTAGAGAGTAAGGGAAGTTTCATCAGGAGCATGGACATGCCTGCTCTGCTGGAGACTGACAGCGATACAGGGAGATGGTGTGGGAGACTTCGAGAGGCCCCTGAATGCTCTGAGTCATCACCTCCAACCACACTGGGTGCCAGACGCAGGAGGGACAGCGAGGTAACACAAGTGCCCTGTGAGCAAACAGGCACGATGACAGGGAGCACCGACCAACAGCTCATCCTGGTCCTCCCTGTCTGCCCACAGTTGTCATGGAGACTTAGCATTAGAATCTGAGAATTTATGCAGACTGATGCCACACAAGTTAGATGTTGAAACTCCCACATGTGGAGTATATATTTTTACAGGCCTATGTTTGATAATATTCAGAAATTTGTGTTTTCTACTTTTTCAAGTTTTAAAACCTGCTATACTATTTGTTCTTTTTATTAATATCTTTGAGACAACATCCTATCTTTAAGGGGAATATGCTGTGAATAATTATTAATGCCCTTTCCTGTTTGAATGTTCAGATAGACTTTCATAAATTCATAGTTGGTAGAAGATTCTAATGCTAACAATGTTTGATTTGTCTCAATTACTATTTTCTGATTGAAAGGGGGATTTGTAATTTAAAAGTGAGATTTGAAATTTAGAAGGTCAAAGGGAAAGACAGACGGCATAAAGTTTACCTCAAGCTTCTGCTGTACATAATGCTGATACATTATGTGAGATTAAGACTTAAGCTGGTCTGGGGCAGTAGCAGAACACATACTCAAAGGGAGACACTACTCAAAGGGAGACAAAATCATGAAAATTGAGTGATTCTATAATATTGAAAGGAATATGCGGGAGACTCAGATGATCCTCACGTTGCTTGCTACAAAGAAACCTTAAAATTCAGCGAATTAAAGATGATGACACTCCTCTGTCTCTGACAGAACAGCCCAGAAGTAAGCAGATGTCCATGGTAGGGCAAGGCGTTCTTCTCTATGAAGTTACTGCGTGAGCAGATGGTTCTGTCGCCCACTGCCCTTAACTTCCCTCTCTCCCCCTACATCTCTGCTCCTGCTGTATCCACTCCTCAGCCAGCACAAGAGATAAAAGTATGCAGAGAGAGCCTTTCTCTTCTTAAAGCAGTGAAATCTAGGCTTCCCATCAGCTATAATCCTCCTGATAATTTGAGAAATCATCCACTGAGAGGATCTATTGATACACTCATCTACTTTGATTAGGTTTTTTTGTCTTTGTTGAGACAGGGACTCACTGTGCAGTTCAGGCAGGGCTTGAGCTTACTTTGTACCCCAGGCTGGTCTTGAACTTGCAAGAATCCTTTTGCCTCAGCCTTGAGTGCTGGGATTTCAGAGATGTGCCACTATGCCTGGCATTTGATTAGGTGTGGTTGTGTTAATCTGAAAATACATTTAGAGGAGCCTTGGAAAAAAGTACATTAGAAGCAGCAGCACTTGTGAAACAGCCATTTATTATTTGATGGCTGCTGTTATGAAGTTGGCTGTGACTCTACATCCTTGAACAGGGAGGTGTTTTTTCCTTTAGCCTTTTAGTCTCTTCACTTGCCTTGGGTTTTGTACTGCTCAGTGTATTAGATGCAATTTAGTTATGACAAATACATTCATTTTCACCATAGAAGTTATTTTCTTAGTATTGCCACCTATGGTTCACCATATCAAACATAAGAGGATAATTCAAATATATGCTATCTTATTTGCAGTGAGACATAGAAATATTCTTCTTGTTCACGTTCCCTTTCCTTAATTTTGTGTCTTTGTGGGTCTACATCTATACATGTTATGGAAGCTTCACAATAGAATTTCTGCCTAATATAATTTTATATGTATAAATAAATTGAGAAATAAAAGACTAAGCATATGTTTGTGTTGTTCATTTAGTTAATTCTATTAACATTCTAATTTATACTTTATGGTTCTTGTTTGTTTATGTAGAACTGATTTACCATCTGGTGTCTTCTTTCCTTACTCCAATAACACTCTGTATGTGTTGCAGTTGTCAAATGTGATATGGGATATGCGATTCTCCATATTACAGGGCCAAAGGTACAATTTTACACATATTCTATCCAATCGCTGTTCTAATCAACAAGAGGAGGAAGTCAGACCATAAACACTTTTTAACTCTCCTTCAAAGCTCTGTGTCTTTCACTTTCCCCTCTCTCCATTCCCTACTATCTCCTATTTTATTTCTTGCTTCACGGGTTGTTCTGTATTCTATGAATATAATATAAGTGAGTCACACAATGCTCTTTCTTCTGTGGAATATTCTATGAAGGATAATTTTTAAGGTGAAAATATATTGTAGAGTATAATCATGTGCTGCATAATGTTTTGGTCAATGACGGATCACAACTGTACCTGTACTTCCATGGGATCACAAATAGCTGGAAAATTCATATCCCCTGGGGATACTGTAGTCAGTGCCGTAGAACAATGCATTTTTCATGCATTTAGGTGATACTGGGATAATTAAACCTACCACTGGCAGTTATATCATTACCTATAGCATGTAATACTTGATAATGATCATAGAATGATTATGTTACTGGTTTATGTATTTTTATACTGTACATCAGGTTATTATTACATGTAGTGATCTTTATACTTATTTAAAAGCTCACTGTAAATAACATGCTGTGTTACTCCAGCAGCAGCCCCATGCTTCTCTTCTTTGTCTCACACTGACTGAAGGGAGTGGCTTGAGGGTGAGTGACTGTGAGAATGGTGGGCAGTAGGTGAGTGCTGTGAGCTGGGTTGCTAGAAAGCCCGAAATCACATATCCTTCTCTCTGCAGTATTTAGAGACAGTAATCAGCATAACACAATTGAGGCAGTATCTGATGTTTTGGGGTCGGTGCTTCAGCTCTGATGTGTAATCATTTATGCCCTGGGAAGTCAGAGCCTCTTATCTTGAGGCTCCATCCCAGTCCACAGCATGGAGTTTGGTTCTCCAACCTGCCTCACCTGGGCTCACATGGT